GTGCTGGGGCTGCTGAGTGCTCCTTGCAGAGGGGTTTTGGGGATGTTTGGAGGCTGGAGCTGTGCTGGGGCTGCTGACTGTGCTCCTTGCAGATCGAAGAGGAGCTCGCCGCCCTCCAGAAGGAACGCAGCGAGAGGATCAAGTTTCTGTTGGAAAGGCAGGAGCGAGAGATTGAGACGTTTGACATGGAGAGCCTGCGGATGGGCTTTGGGAATTTGGTCTCATTAGAATATCCCAAGGAGGACTATAGATGAGGTTAAATTTCTTTGCCATTAAAAAAAAACAAAACAAACCAACAAAAACCACAGAAAGCAAACGAAGTAAGGATAAAACTTGCAAACCCAACATTCCCCATGTTGACGGGCGTGCTCTCTCTCTTTCTGTCTCTCTTACTGACATCGTGTCGGACCAGTGCCTGTATATTCTTATCCATCAGGGGCCCCTTTCCCCCGTCACGTCCCGGTGCAGGACAGCTCCTGGCAGTCTTTTCCATAGTATGTCACAGTATTGATGTCTCTGTGCAATGATTAAAAATGTTTCAGTGAAAACTTTGGAGACAGTTTTAATGGAGAAAAAAAAAAAAAAAAAAAAAAAAAAAAAAAAAAAAAAAAAAAAAAAAAAAAAAAAAAAAAAAAAAGCCACCAAGTGGATGTATGTTGCTTCTGAGCAATCACTCATTTTACCACCAATCAATGAAAGTACAAGCAAAAAAATATTAATAATTAAAAGATATCTACGATCCCAGGGGGAGAGAGACTGAATCCGCAGCCTTACCTTAACTAGCTGCTGCATAATTTTATTTTATTTTTATTTTTTTGGTATTTATTCATCAGGAATAATTAAATAATAATAAAAAAATTTTATTAAAGATTGAAAAAAAATTTGATACATTTTACAGAAAAAAAACTTAATCGTGCTGTACATATCAGTGGTGACATATTATTACTTTTTTGGGGGTGGGGAGGGGAGGGCAATGACGTGGTGATTTTTAGGAGAACCATGCCAGGGGCAGCAGGGACAAGCCCTGGCCCCTGGGCATATTCTTGATTGTATCATAAATCATTTTCTGCTGTCGCAGAGAATGTGAATACACTTAAATGAGCCCACAGGATCCCAGTAGCACAAATTGGGCTTTGTCAAATCGTGTATTTTGTGTATAGAAGGAATTTAAGGAGAGCTTTTACTTATTTTCATATTGTATTTTAACTGTTTCTCTGATCAAAAATTTTTTTACTTCTTTCCCCCCCCTCCCTTCCTGCTCCAGCCACCCCCCACTCTCCAGTTCTGTTCTGGAGCTCAACACTGTCTGTTAGATCATCCCAGCCCTTTTCAGTTTTCTTTTGTTTGTTTTTTTGGGGGGTTTTTTTTTGTTCCTCCCCCAAGTCCACCCCCAACCTCATGATCTTGGTCATAAATATTGCATTATTCACACTTTCAAACTGTGTATTTTCTTACAATAAAAAGAGAAAAAAAAAAGGCTTTACTTCTTTTGCATGCACTTTAAAAAAAAAACCAACAAAAAAAAAAGGACAAAAAAACCAACAAAACAACAAAAACATTTTTCAGGTTCCAGGGAAGAGCATGAGTAACTGTCAGAGCTTTTAATTATATTTGTAAATAAAAGTGTTCATCACAATGCCTGGCTGTGTCATTGTGGGAGGGGTGGCTCGTGGCCCAGCACAGGTGCAAGGTGGGGATGGGGAGGGGACACATTCCACTGGTGTCCCATTCCAGGTGTCCCTGAGCCTGGGCAGGGCTTGGTTTCCTAACAGTGGAGGTTTTTAATTTTTTAATATTCTCCTCCCAGCCCAAGCAGTCCCAGGATGGATCAGCCTTGTGAGCCCTGCTCCAGCCTTAACTCTGGTGGGCTTTGGTCTGGAGAAGCTGAGGCTGTTTTCCTGGGAAACCATGGATCCTCTTGAAATGTTTTAATTGCTGGGCTGATAAAACTGCCCTGGGGGCAGCACCATCCACATGAGTTCTGGAATCCCAAATTTTCTCAGGGGTGCTGCTGATTCCTGTTTGTCAGACCATGTCACTGCAGAGCTTTGATACGGCAGCTTGAAAAAAAAGGGGGAAGGCTCCTGATTCCATGAAGCTGAATTGCACTGGCTTCACCTTTTTTACATTTTATAGCCATCAGGCTCTATCAGAGGCTCATTTCTGATCTAGGCATCCTGGAGACACCCCCAGGCCTCACTGCAAAGCTGCTGGAGCAGCAGGAAGCACCTGGGACCTGCAGTTGGGCTGGGAAGTGGGGCCCAGACTGACTGTTGGGGTGTCAGATCTGCTGTGGTGATGTGGGTGCTCCTGTGGATGGAGGGAGCCCCCACGAGTCTGGGAGTGAGGAGAGATCCCTTGGGAAGGAACTGAAGGCTGGGAATGTTTTTAAGATAGACATGATGGCACTGAGCTGTGTCCCTCCAGCGTCAGTGAGTCCCAGGAATGGGGAGTGCTGGGCACAGGGTCCAGCCTCATCCCAGGAACACACCACCACCCACTGCTCCCTGAGCACTGCCCTCATCCCCCCCAAGAAGACAACCAAGCACACCAAGTACCTTGGGAAGTTTTTAATTGCACTGTGAGCACAGGGCAGGTCACCACAGAAGAGAACTGAGGACTGAACAGAACAAAGTGGTCTCAGCTTTGAGTGGCAGCAGAGAACAGAAGGAAGTGCTCTAGGCCAGCTCCTGCCTCCCCCTCAAGCTGCATCTTCACTACTGTAGTGGTGATGTGGAGGCACTGGCCAAATGTAGGAGGGGGAAAAGAAAAAAAAAAAGGGGAGCAAGTTTCCCTTTGACTGCCCTCTCCTCTCCTGGAAAAGGGAGTCTCCACAGCCAGCACCCACCCCAAAGTGGTTGTGTACCCACACCCCTGCCACCTCAAGCCATCCCAAGACAGCAGAGACCCCCTGAATTGACACTAATTCACAAAGGCTTTTAATTCCCTTAAGCAGGTCAGTTTGGAGCCAGGGACACCCAGCAGCAGCTCTCTAGCTAGGATACCACGAGCATCAGCACAGGCCTGAACACAGGGACACGGAGCAGGGACGGTGGCATTGCCAGTGGTAAGAGCAGGACGCGGGTTCAACTCGTTAACAGAACAGAACTACAGCACCGTGCCCAGCCCCAGCCACGGGCCCTGGCCCTACTTCCCCGAGAGCTGCTCGTAGAGCTTGGGCACGTAGTCATCCCACTCAGCCTGGTAGCAGGTGCCCGCCACCGGCGCCCCCAGCCCGTACTTGCTGCGGAAGGCGGCCACCTTGAACTTGCCGCGCTTGTCCCCGGAGCGGTTGGACAGCACGGGCTCGCTGCAGGCCAGCTGCTGCGGCTGCTCGTACACCAGCCACACGTAGCGGTGCAGCCCTGCGGGGAGCGACAGCGTCACCGCCGCGCCCCCGGCTGCGGGTCCTCCACGGAGCTTAGGGAGCTGCGCTAGGCAGGCCGGATCCCTGCCAGGTGCAGCCCCCAGCAGTCCTGCATGGATCGTTCCCACAGGCAGTTTCCTGCAGGCTTCCCCCCCCACCCCTCTGCACCGGCTGTGATCCACGCAGCAGCACCTGGGAACCGCTGCAGGTACCGACCTGTTCCCTTGGGAGGCCCCGAGCCAACATAATCCGACATCACGGTCCCGCTGCCCACGTTGTTGCCTTTCATGTTGGTCACCAGGAAGTGATGCCACTCCCTGAAAGGACAAGGCACAGAACAATCACGCTGGCAGAGCTGCAGATAAGAACACCCTTTGTCACTCCAAGCTGCTGCTTTTCCATGAGGCTGTCAGCACGGGGTAAACAAAGAGCTGTCATTCCTGGTTTGCCAAACCCAAAGAACACCAGTCCCAGAGCAGGCACCGCTTTGTTGGGATGCACAGCATGGCAAAACAAGCTCCACGTGGCTGCAGGAAACCCACAGCCTCATCTCTGAGAGTGAGGATTCTACACACTGCTGAGGCTGACTCGAGGAAGGTGAGCTAGTCGCAGAGTTAACATTCTGCTGTCAGCAAAGACCTAATTTCAACTCACATACGGGCTAAATTAGAGCAAGCAGTAAATGCTGTGCTGCTCCAGCTACAACAGACCTCTGAGCACCCCTGGTAAGAGCAGCTGCTCCTCCCCATACTGTCCCTGACTCAAGGAGAGATGCAAGGACGTGGTTTCTATGACAAGCCACAGCTCCACAGCTGCACCTTAGGCGGAGCACAGTGCCACCTCCTCCTTAAGCCTCTGCTCAGCCCAAGAGAGATGCTCCTTTTCCCCACGCAGGCCACGGAGCTGTCCATTACCATTACCTGAACTTTGGATCCTTCCGACTGGGCGCATCAGGGTCTGTGAGAACCAGCGTGTAAAGCTTCTGGGGATCGCAGCCGTCCCACTCGATGCTGGTGGGGCGATGCTGGACCTGCAGGGATGACGGCGTCAGCACCAGCCCGGCTGCCAGCGCCAGCCGCCTGCCCTGCACACAGGGCCAGCATGACCTGCGCTGGCAGCGACACCGAGGGGCTCACGGCCATTTGTGCCTGCTCGCCCTGGCAGCCCCTCTCTGTGCGGGGAAGCTCCGGCGGCAGCGGCCGGAGCCACAACGCGGCAGGCCCGACCGCATCCCGCCATTTTGCCGCGCCACCCCCGCGCGCAGAGCCGCGTCTGCTCACCTGAGTGGGCGTGAGCACCTTGCCCAGCTCGTCGATCTCCACGGAGCCGTACTTGACCCTCAGCGGGTGCGCCGGCTTCTGCTCCACCTCGGCGAGGCTCAGCGGCCCGTCCCACTTGGCCAGGTCCACCGGCATGGCGACGCTTGCGGCTGCGACGGCGGCGGCTCCGGGCTGCCCGTGCGCCTTGGCGGAGGCACCGCCCCGCTCCGCTCCCATTGGTGGAGATGCCGCTATGCTCCCCTCCCATTGGTGGAAACGCCGCTGCGCTCCCCTCCCATTGGTGGAGACGCACCGCCGGCCTCCCCCGCGCCAGCTGTATAGCGCCTCCAGGCGGAGCCGAGGGGGACCAGCAGAGCTCCGGTTACCTGGGCTGGCACTGTCGCCCCTACCGCTAATTAGGTTAATTAATAATTAATGTACCACGGCCCAGTGGGGCAACCCTGTGGGTCTCAGCGCTCTGTTTCACGCGCGCCTTGGTGCTTCCAAGCTGCCATGTGTAAGGTATCCTGGAGAAACCCGAGGATAGTTGCGTGGTTACGGTCCTCGCTGCGGGGTTACACAGGGGAACAAGCGTTTATCTGTGCTCTTCCCGCTCTGCGGCTTGTGGGGTGCCTGTAAGTGGATGGATTAGAGCAGCGTTCTGGCTGTGAGGGTCGCTTAGCGCTCAGGGAACACCGCTCAGCACACGCGGCTCCCTCCGGTTCAAAGCCTCCCGGGCCCCGCTCGGCTGAGGCCGCCCCACACGGCCGAGGGGGGCGTGAGGTGACCCCAAGATGGCGGGCGGGGGGGTCCCAAGATGGCGGCCGGCGGTTCTGAGGCGTCGGGAGCCGGCGGGCGGACAAACCCCATCCCGGGCCCCTCACGGGCCCCGGCGGGCGGGTCCCCCCGGCCGGGCACGCCCGCCCGCCCTCCCCAGGCCTCCCGCCGGGGCGGCGGCCGGGCAGCACCGCCTCCGCGGGGCTCTGGCGGCGGCACACAGCCGTGCAGCGCCTGGGCGGGATGCTGCCGGCGCGGCTCCTGCTCGCCCTTTGCTTCTGGAGGCTGGTGCCGCGCCGGGAGGCCGCAGGTAGCGCGGGCTGAGGGGAGGGGAGCAGGGAGCTCTGTCCCCTTTCCTGATGTGCGCTGGATGTTTTTATTCCCCTCCGAGGTCCCTCAGCAGTGCCCTCACAAGCACCTCAGAGGGCTGACACAGATGAGCTATCCAGCTCTTTGCTGCAGCAGCCGGCTTTGCCCATTCCCTTCATCCCTAACGCCGTCCCTTCTCTCTTGCAGGAACAGATGAAGTGGTCTTTGGGCAGCTGGGAGGAAGCATCCTCCTCTTGTGCCGCAACGTGTCCAAGGACGCCGCCGAGGTGGTCTGGTTCCAGGGGGACCCGCACTCCTTCCCGCCCCTCTTCTCCTCGAGGGTCTCCTTCCCCCCGGACGTCCGCTTCTCCCTGGTGGACAACAGCTCCCTGAGCATCTCGGAGCTGCGTCTGCAGGACCAGGGCAACTACACCTGCAGGGAAGTGCTCAACAAGACGGACCATGAGCACAGGGTGCAGCTCCTGGTGGCCAGTAAGTCATCCCCACAGCTGAGCTTCCTCCCCTCTGCCTTCCACATCCCCAAAGTCATCTGGCACTGGTGGAAAAATAATATTTAGAAAGTGCAAACGGCTTTATGGTGCATAATCTCTCTCACATCTGCTAACAAGCACCAAAATGTGTGTCCAAGTGGCCTGTCACAGGTCTAGCATATGTAGGGGAAATGCCAACTCTCAAGTCCTTGTTGTGTCTCTTCTTCACGAGTTTTTGGGCACATCTTCCATTCTCTGTAGCTGTTCCAAGGGGACACTTTTTCTCAGAGTCTGGTTGACTTGAGTCTCCATAAAACATGGGGTAGGGGATGCTGCTTGCTGTCTGCTTTCCCTTGTTTGGGGTAGATGTGCTGGGCCATCCTTCTAGTGAGAGAACTCTTCCCAGCTGAGAAGTCTTACATTGATGGAAGTA